ATACTAGGATTCTGTGCAAACCCAAAGAACTCTATATACTAGGATTTGTTTGTTCAAATCCTAGAAGAATATCCCCACATTAAAAGTAAGAAATTTGAAGCATAAATAAAACTATAGTCAACTTGTATTAGACTTTTGACTGCCGTGACCAAAAATAACCGAGAGTAACTTAAGAAAGAAAAGACTTATTTTGGCTCTCAGTTTCAGAGATTTTGGTCTATAGCTGCCTGGTTCCACAGGCTTAAACAGATCATTCTGGCAGCAGGGTGGATGTGTGAAACTAGAGTTAAGTACTCATCTCATGGTAGAGAAGATGCAGAGATGGAATATAATAAGGAGCTAGGGCAAGACACAGCTTTCAAGGACATGCCCCTACCATCTACTCCCTCCAGCTAGACCACAACTGTCACCTTTCACCAATGCCACCATATTATGAATCTACTAAGGAATTAATACATTCACTAAATCAGAGCCCTGATGATCTGTCTCTAGAAACACTATCACAGATACACTCAGAGGTGAGCTTTACTAATCTCCCAGGCACTTCTCAATCCATCAAGTAAATAAATAAGATTATCCACATAAGGTGGAGGGAGGGAAGGGAGAAGTAGAGATATCTAACCCAGTAGTAAGATGCACTGTAATCACTACTCAGTAGTTTTGCAATGTTGTCAGTGGATAGAGTATGATTCAGGTAATTCCGTTACATTACTTTTCACTTGGCTTACCGTTTTAATTTGCACAGGGAATCACATTAATGTCTCGAATCCTCCTCTTATAAAAACACTCCAGCCCCAAACCAACCATTATACAGATTCACTTACTAAAGCTGTCCCATTTAGAGCATCCTGTGCTTCAAAGAGAGGTATCTCATGCAAGAAATCTTGGTAACAATAGTTACCTTCTGCTTGTATGTAGCTCAGTTCCTTAAAAACAAAAACAATTAAGACACACATTCTGGGGGGCTAGAGAGAGAGCTCAGCGATTAAGAGCACTAACTGCTCTTTGCAGAGGACCCGGGTTCGATTCCCAGAACCCACATAGTGGTTATGAACAGTCCTTAACTCCAGTTCCAGGAGAATTCAGCACCCTCCTCTGACTTCCGTGGCATTGCATGACACAGGTGCACTCACATACACACAGGCAATATACTCCTACATATAAAATTAAAATATTTTAAAAAAGAAAACAAAAAAAAAATACATTCTGAAGAAATTCCTTCAATAGGGTCTTGGAAACACAGGCTGTGTTGTAATATTTATACTTTCCTAACTGCAATATTATGTTTTCAGGGGAAAAAATTAACCCTCATAGCACTATTTAAGGGCATTTTGGTCAATGACAACCACCTATAGGATAGTGATCCCTTAAGATTTCTACTATTGATGGACACTGTAGCCATTTTACTTTGTGTAGTACACTCTATAATGTTCCAAAAATAAAACCTCCTAACAATGTACTTTTCAGAAAAGTATCTCTATCCTTACCTTTTTTTCCTTTTTTGGGGGGGGGGGCAGGGTCTCCCTGTTGCCCCAGCTGGCCTGAAACTCATTATATAGACCAGGATGGCCTAGTTCTCCCAGAGATCTGCCTATTTCTGCCTCTGGAGTTCTGGGATTAAAGGTGTGCACTAACACACCTGACTAAAATTTATCTGTAAGATAAGGAATTCAATACCATAAAGTCTGCTAGGAAATGCAAATCTTGCTTTTTTAGAAAAGCACCTAACTGGCCTGGAGAGATGGCTCAGCAGTTAAGAACACTGATTGTTCTTTCAGAAGACCTAGGTTCGAATCCCAGCACCCACATGGCAGCTAACAACTGTCCGTAAACTCTAGTTCCAGGGGATCCCGACAGCCTCTTTTGTTCTCCACAGGCATTGCACAACATGGGTGCACTTACCTACACACAGGCAATGCACACATACACATTAGAAAAAAAAAAAAAGCACCAAACTAATGATCCATTCAGCCAAGATTTTTATCTGTTAATGGCATGAAAGGCTTAGGAAGGATATTATTGTTCTCTCAACTATCAAGAATAAAACAACTCAGTACTAGGGAGGCTGTGGCAAGACAAAGTACAAGGGCCAGCCAGCACGGACTACAAAGCAAGACCCTGTCACACACACAAAAAAAGTAAAACACCAAGAGTGCACTTAAGATCAGTCTAATTTCCCTTAATAATTTTTCCCTTCAGTGCTAGGGATCAAAAACAATGCCTCAAATACACTGAATGCCCCACCTAACCACATTACCCTAGTGCAATCCCCTTAGTGACTTTATTAAATAGCTGTGAATGTTACCTAAATAATTCCTACCTTCTTCTTATTGCTAAACTGGTAGTCTAGTTGTAAGATTAGTATTTTCTCCTGTCTTCTAATAACTATAATTAGAACTTCTCATCAGTCCCACATTTATTTTAAAATAATTTAAGGCATGTTCTTATGGTACTATTCTGGACTTTGGTGGGAAAGTTCATGTTTAGTTATCCAAACCTTTCAGGATTATAAGAGGACATAACCTAAAAACATGCACCATGGCAGAGATGAAAATACTGAATGCATAGTTGGGAAACTCGAAGATACTCTTTCTAGTCTCAGTTATGGCCTCTTAGTACTGTGGGTCTGGAGAAGTCAATGAACTCCCTTGAATGTGAAGGCTCTGAAAAATGAAGAGACTGGACAAGATGATCTGAAGTTCTCATCCACACTAGAAATATTTTGTTTAGTATATGGAAACCGGAAATCACTATAAGGTGTCTTCCTTAGTTCTAACTTTTTTTAAAAAGATTTATTTTTATTTATTTTTTGGTCTTTTTGAGACAGGGTCTCCCTGTAGTCCCAGCTGTCCTAGAACTCCCGATGTAGACCAGGCTGGCCTCGAACTCACAGAGCTCCGCCTGCCTCTGCCTCCCAAGCTCTGGGATTAAAGGCGTGTACCACCACACCTGGACTTTTATTTTTAAATTTAAAGTTTTGCATGCATCTCTGTGTATGGGTTTGTGCAAACTGCAGGTACCCATGGATGCTGTCAGAGCCTCTAATTGTGAGCCATCCGACACGGGTGCTGGGAAACAAACCCAGGTCTTTCCAAGAGCAGCACCTGCTACTGACTGCTAAGCCATCTCTTCAGCCCTCCACGTTAGAGTCTCTCCCTGAACCTGGAGCTTACCAATTCAGCTAGCCTACCTGACTAGCAGGTCCCAGTTCCCACCTCTGCCCTTTAGTGCTGTGGTTAAAGATGCTCCACAGGTGCTCAGGAACCAAATTCACTTTACTGAACGAACCATCTCCCATCACAAGGAGCAGAAATACTTTTTAACCTATTCTCCAACAGTTTTATTTTTCCCCCAATATTACATGTGGTTGTGTTTTTTTAGACAGGGTCTCATGTAGCCCAGGCTGGCCTCAAACCCTCTACATAACCAAGTATAACTGACCTTCTGATCCTCCTCCTTCACCCCTCCTGAGTGTTGGGATGATAGGCTGCTGGAATGAAGTAGCATGCCACCGTGCCCAGCTTATGTCATGTGTTTACTTAAGGAACTTATTTTTTATGAGTGTCCATGTACATAAGTGGGGTGGCCATGGGCTGCCGTCTAGTATCTTTCACTATCACTCTCCACCTTATTTTACTTATTTATTTATGTGTGGGGGTGCATGCATGGGTGTCAAATGACAATTTACAGGAGTGAGTTCTCTTAACACGTGGGGCTGAATTCAGGTTGTCAGGCTTAGTAGCACCTTTACTCCTTGAGCTGTCTTGCTGGCTCCTCCACTTTATTTTTGAGGCAGAACCTCTCAATGACCCTGGAGATCACTAAATGGGTAGATTAGCTGACCAGTGAGCTCCTGGGATCCTGCTTCAACCATCCAATACTGGGATTACAGATGAGTGCTTCCACACCTGGCGTTTTACATTGGGACCTGAACTCAGGTCAGTGCTTGTGTAGCAAGCACTTTACCCACCGAGCATCTTCATGGGGCTGGGGATATAGCTTATGGGTAAATAAAATACTTATGCACCAGGTCCTGGAAACATTTTCTTCTTGAGACATACAAGAAGGGAAATGAATGAGAATGTGGATGGGACAGGATTAGCCCCTGCGTGTTGAGACTGGATGATGGGCACATACTGGCTTGAGATTCTGTTTTCGTATATCTGAAATTCTCCAAAATATGGATCTGAAAAGAAAATCACTTTCAAGAGAAAAGAACACCCTGCAGGCAGTATTCCATGACTTTCTCCAGACCTCAGTAGAACTACTTTTTCCCACATCCATTTTCCCGGTATTGAGATGGAACCTTCACGACATGCTATTCAGCAGTTCTTAAAGTTCTGCCAAAATTAAGGAAAACGAACCAGAAACACAATTCTTCAAATGCTTTCAAAGCTACCTACAGACGAGAGGGGCCGGTATCCGGTACGGGTTGGAATTTATTTCTACGGAGCTGAACCGTTTCACATTTTCTATAACTTCTGAGCTGCAAAAGTTACAGTCCAGATGGACGTGACTCTCAGGCAGCCCTCGAGGATGAGGAACCGAGATGGAAAGGCAGTGGAACCCGGGGAGAGGCGAGACGACCACCCCACCCCGCCGAAAAGGAAAACCGGCCGAAAGGCAGGGGAACTGGACTCCGAAGAGAAGGCGCTTCCACGTCACCTAACGCCGGCAGCTCTCCTCAGCTGGGCCTCGGAAAAGGCCGGGATGGGGAGCGGCCGGCCAGGGGGAGGAGCGGGCTGGGCCGGGCGGAGGAGAGGAGCGCGCGGAGGAGAGGAGCGGGCCGGGCCAGGCCGAGGGGAGAAGCGGGCCGGGCGGAGGAGCCGGCAGGGCCGAGAGGAGGAGAGGAGCGGGCCGAGCTGAGTAGAGCGGGACCCGTGGGAAGGATCCCCCGTCAGCGGCTCTGGACGCGGAAGGCATCGGAACGGCCGGAACCCGCGCCCCACGCCCGGCCAGTGGCCAAAGACACCCCGCGGGGACGGGTCAGTCCTACTCACCCGTGAGGCTCGGCTCCCGGCACGCACGCTTGACGGCCCTGCCCAGCCCGCCGCCGGCCGACGCGTACGTAAGAACGTGCGCGCTCCCGCCTTTGTCCGCGCTGCAGGACGTGGCTCCGCGTCCCCCACCCTTGAGCCCTGCGCACTCGCGCTAGCTCGCCTGGGGCCTGCAGGCCGGGCGGGCGTTAAGGAAGGGAGGGGTGGCGCCAGCGAAGCCCGGGCGGACGGAGTCGCCCTCTGGCGGTCGGCCGCAGGCGGTGGCTCGCCCCGGGATCTGGGTGTGGAGTCCCCGGAGAGGGAATGTCACGTTGTCCTCGCGGGACTGTTGTGAACCATGAGATGCGGCCAGTGAAGTACTAGGCCCGGTTCCGGCCGGGACATCTCGGCCGCCACCCCCAGCATCACGCGGGAGCCACACTTAACACAGGCGTTTGCGCAGGCCTCGAGCCTTCCGACGCCACCGGTTTGGGACGGAGCGAGTCCCAGCCCAAGCTTGCTTCCCTGCAGGAGAGCCTCTTTAAGAAGAAGGTAAAACAAAACAAAACACCCTGCTTGATTCTTTTTTTTCTTTTTTAAACAGGCTTGAGTCAAATTCAGCATATAGTGGCAGATGACTTTAACTTCTGATCCCCGGTGCCTCCACTTTCCAAGTTCTGGTATTAAACCACCACCCCAGGTTTTATAAGGTGCTGGGGTTAGAACTCAGGGCCTGGAGGCACGCTGAAGCAGTCTGCCAAGTACTTTCCCAGCCCTCTCTCTCACTCATTTGCTTCACGTCCCTACTATACTTGCCCCTACTCACTTGCCCCGTCCCTACTTCAGGACTTCTTAAGTTTTCCTCTTTGCTCAAGAAATTTTTAACACAACCCCAGGTGTATATAACAAGTACACATTACAAATATTTACTATTACTAAGCAATACATTTATTTAAAAATAATTATTTGCTATGCCTAAATAAGTTTATCAGTACTAAAAACAAAAGCAAAAGTGCATACTAATGAGATGGATGTGCTTGCCATTTTTATATACTGAAACTGGCTGAATATTTGATACCATAGGTCATGAAACATGCTAACATTTCTCAAAGTTGATCAATATTTTGATCTTACAATTGTCAACCAATGTTAAGAACACTGCTTTGCACAACTAAAGTACAAAATAGCAATGGTATATTTAGGGAGAGTTTAGAAAATTATTAGAAATTCTGTCCTAATACCTAGCAAAGTTAATTTAACAATTTTTAATGAGCTGAGCAACTCACACAGCAATGTTTAAAATCAAGCATTCTAAACCAGGTATGGTGGTGCATGCCTTGATCCCAACACTTGGGAGGCAGAGGCAGGCAGATCTCTGTGAGATCAAAACCAGCCTGATCAACATAGTGAGTTCCAGGCCAGGGAGACCCTAGCTCACAAAACCAAAAAATAAAAACAAAAAACTACAAATCAATCATTCTAATACAGTACAAAGTGGAAATATAATTTGATGCTTACATGCCAAGGAATGATCATAGGAAAAATTTTAAAGTCTTGGATTTTTAAAAATATTTTTATGGGGCCAGGTGTGGTGGCCCATGCCTTTAATCCCAGCACTTGGGAGGCAGAGGCAGGCGGATCTCTGTGAGTTCAAGGCCAGCCTGGTCTACATAGTGGTTCCAGGACAGCTGGGCTACATGGAGACCCTGTCTCAAAAACACTAAAAACTATATAATATATATTTTTATTGAGTTTTTGTGTATTTCACATAATAGATCTTAATCAAATTTAGAAACCCCCCCCCATTTTCACCCCCATTCCCCCAACCAGATTTCATGCCTTCTGTCATATATGTTAAATCCTAGCCAGTCAAGCACTGTTACCCAGGTGTCCCTCAATGCAAGTTCATCCACTGGAGTCTAATCAGCTTATCTAGCTAGAGTCAGTCCTGTAAGATCTACTCTCCCTCAACCAGCAATACTCAGTTGCCAAGATTTCCTCTGCTAGGGTTTGGGCCTGACAACCATTTCCCTTGTTCTAGGCTGAGTTTTTGTCTGAGCCAGCATGGGTCTTGTGCATGCCGTCACCATTGCTGCAAGTTCATGTGAGCAAGTTCCCAGTGGTTTGAAAACCTGTGTCCTTATGTTCATGCATCAACCATGGCTCTTACAATCTTTCTGTCTGCTCTTCTTCAATGGTCCCTGAGCTGTGCGGGTGGGTGAGGTTTAATATAGGAGTCTTATCCAGGGACATGCACTCTGCACTATCTTATTCTCTAAACCTTGGCCAGTTGTGGCCTTCTGTGTGCATCACACTCTATTGTATGAGGAAGCTTTGCCAGTGAGAGTTGAGGGATGTATTAGTATCCTCAATACCCCCTGTTCTGCTATGTTCTGTGAGCCTTAGGTATAGAGGTTCCACCATAAGTGTGTGACTTTGGGCTGGGAATCTCTCAGATTACATTCTCTGTGTGTGACCAGTTGTGGAACTCTGTAATAACCTCCATCTGTTGCAAAAAGAAGCTTCTTTGATGAATGGTATATGGTAAATTTAAGGATTCCTGTTTAGCATACAGTAAGAAATTTCATTTGTCTAGAGATGGGATTTTTCTCTAGGATCTATGACCACTCCAGACATATGTTTTTGACTGTATTTACAGTGCTACCTATGAGGTCCTTCCCATTGAGAGGGCTGTAAGTCCAATTAGATAGCTGTTGATTGCCCCCAGATAACAGTGGCCCTACTGCACCAATAGAAAGACTTTGCTGTGTTAGCCCTGTGATTATTAGACTTTAGAGCCTGGGTTGGACAACTGATTGATTTTCTCCCTTATTAGTTTGCATAGTATCCTCTAGAACTTGGGAGCTAGTCTTCAGGGAGAGGGCTTCTGGGTCAGTTCCAGTTTCATTGCTCCAAATCCTGTGTCCAAAGTATGAGCTGTCCTCAGGAATAGGGTCTCACCTTCAAGGTCTGGGAGGTAATCAAGAGCCATGGCAATAGCCTGTCATATTGAGAGTCTCTTGGACTACCCTGACAACTTGAAGGGGGGTTTCTCCTGTCTGGCAAAAGATATTGTTATGTGTATTTTTGAGGGTTTTTTGAGTTAATACATTTCCCTCTAGTTTTATTTTTTATGTATATGCATGTATTGCCTTCGTGTATGTAAGTGCACTCGTGTCATGCAATGCCTATGGAGGACAGAAGAGGCTGTCAGATCCCCTGGAACTAGTTACAGACATTTGTTAGCTGTCTTGCAGACAGGTCTTCTGCAAGAACAGCAAGTGTTCTTAACCGCTGAGCCCTCTCTCCAGCCCCCAGCCCCCGGCTTTTTACACCACCAAAGCTGTATTTATCTCTCCTCTCTCCCTCCCTGTCTAACCTACTTCCTCCCTCAGTTTAAGTACTGCTATTTCCTCCATTTTCTCCTTTACCTTAACCTGTCTCCTATTACCAATCCCCCCCCCCCGAGTTCTTTCTTACTGTTTAGCCCCATGGTTCTTTGTATTTCCTTCCCTCCTCCCTACCCAGTTAAATACCCCATCTTCCCATGTCCCCCTTGGTAACACCTGTTTCCTACTATTCCCCTCTCTCAGGCTCTCTCTTTCCCTTTACCTCCGTGCTTTCATTCCATTTACTCGGCTCCTGCTGTTACTTCAGAATATAGACTCACATATAAAGGATTGGTGCTAAGATCTGCAAATGAGGGAGAACATATCAATGTTGCTTACTTTTCTCAATCTGTGTTACTTCACTTAGTATCACAGTTTCTAATTCCATCCATTTACCTGTAAATTTCATAGTTTCATCTTTCCTTGCCATCAAGTGGAACTCCATTGTGCAAATGTACCACATTTTCATTATCCATTTGTCAGTTGAGGGACATTTAGGTTGTTTCTATTTCTAAGCTATTGAAAAGAGCAGCAACAAACCCCTTAGATAAAAGTGGACTTCTCCTACAGTAGGAGAAGTCCTTTGGTATACACCAAGGAGTGGTGTCAAAGGATCATATAGGAGACTCATTTGTAGTTTTTAGAGCGTTCTCCACACTGCTTTCTGTAGGGGTTGCACGAGTTTGTGTTCCCGCCAGTGATGAATGAGAGTTCCTCTTTCTCCACACCCTTGTTTGCATTTGGTTCCTTTTGTTCTCTTGATCTTAGTCTGACTGGGGTAAGATGAAATCTTAAAGTGGTTTTGATCACATTTCTCTAAGTACTAAGGATGTTGAGCAGTTTTTAAGGTGCTTCTTAGACATTTTTATTTCTTCATTTGAGAATTCTCTGTTCAGCTCCTTAGCCCAGGTCTTTATTGGGTCATTTATTTTCTTGTTTCTTTGGGTTTTGTTTTTTTTTTTGGTTCTTTGTATATTTGGAGTATTAATTCACTGTCGGATGTGTAGCAGGTGAAGGTTTTCTCACACTCACTGGGTTTCCTCTTCACTTCCTTGGTTGTTTCTTTTGCTGTACAGAAGCTTTTTAGTTTAATGAGGTTCCACTTGATTGTTGACCTTAATGCAATAGCAACTGATGTTTGATTTAGAAAGTCCTTTCTATACATATGTATTGAAGGGTACTCCCTATGCTGTCTTCTAGAAGTTTCAGAGTCTCAGGTTTCATCTTGAGGTCTTGGATCCATCTGGAGTTGACTTTTGTGTAGGGTGAAACATAAGTGTCCAATTTCATTCTTTTACAGGTGGGGATCCAGTTTTGCCAGCACCATTTCTAAACAGGCTGTCTTTCCTCCATTGTGTGTTCTTGACACCTGTGTCAAATATCAGGTGGCTGAAATCACACGCACTCATGTTTGGGTCTTCTATTGCGTTCCATTGATCATCTATGTGTCTGTTTTTGTGCCAGTACTATTTTGTTTTTATGACTAAATCTCTGTGATATAGTCTGGGATCTGGTATAGTGACCCCCAGCATTGCTCTTTTTGCCCAAGATTGTTTTGGCTATCTGGGGTCTTTTGTGATTCCATATGAATTTTAGGATTTTTTTCTAACTCTATGAAGAATGTCATGGGGATTTTGATTGGCATTGCACTGAATTGCTTTTGGTAGGACCATCATTTTTTCAATATTAATTCTACCAATTCATGAGCACAGTAGGTTTCCATCTCCTGGTGTCTTTCTTTACCTCTTTCTTTAAAGATTTAAAGTTTTCATTATAGAGATCTTTAATGTCTTTGGTGAGGTTTATTCCATGATTTTTTTTTGAGACTATTGTGACTGGGAGGGTTTCCATGTACTCTTTCTCTGATTAGTGGTATATAGAAAGGATACTGATTTCTGTAAGTTGATTTTGTGACATACTTTTGTTGAAAGTATTGATAATTTCTAGCAGTTTTAACTTAAAATCAGGAGTGGTGATGCATCTAGCACTTTTTCTTATTGTTCAGGATTGTTTTGGCTATCCTGGGTTTTGTGTTTCCTTATGAAATTTAAGATTTTTTTTTTCAATTTCTGTGAAGACTTGCATTGGGATTTTGAAAGGCCTTGCATTGAATTGTAGATTGCTATTGGTATGGTGGTCATTTTCACACTATTAATCCTACTGATTCTTGAGTATAGGAAGACTTTCCATCTTCTGGTATCTTCTCCAATTTCTTTATGCAGTGCCTTAAGTTTTTTAAACACAAGCCTTCATTTCCTTGGTTAGATTTATTCCAAGATTTTTTTAAGGCTATCATGAACAGGATTGTTTCCCAGATTTATTTATTTATTTATTTTACTTTTTTTTTAATAGAAGGAAGAGTTTATTTGAGCTTACTGTTCCAGGGGAATTACAGTCTGTCATGGCAGGGAAGCACAGTGGCTGGAGGTGGCTGGAGCAGGAGCAGCAGAAGCTAAGTTCTCAGACATCATGTAGGCACAGGAAGCAAGAGAGCGACTGGAGATCTGGCAAAGCTTAAGAACTCTCTAAGCCCACCCCCAGTGACTTGCTTCCTCCGGGATAGCCACACCTTCTAAAACCTCCCAAAAGTGTCATCATCTGGGGACAAAATGTCCAAATACTTGGAGCCTATGGGGGACATATTCATTCAAACAACCACATTCCACCCCCTGGCCCCCATAGGCTTATGACCTAAATGCATTTAGACCAACTTTAAAAGTTCTCTTGGTCCCAATATTATTCAAAAGTCCACAGTACAAAATATTCTGAGACTTAGGTAAATATCTTAACTGTAAGCCTTTATAAAATCAAAAGACAAATTACATACTCCCAACATATAGTGGAACCAAATATACATTACCATTCCAAAAGGGAGGAATGGAGGCATAGTAAGGAAATACCAGACCAAAACAAGACCAAAAACCAGCAGTACAAACACCAAATCCAGTAGCTCCACATCCAACTTCTGGGACTTTACTTCCAAAGGCCTTAGGTGGCTCAGCCTCCCTAGCTTTGCTGTGCGCAGCACACATCTCTCTCTTGTGCTGGTACCACTCCCTGTATGCAGGTCTTCTTGGCAGATGCCTCACAGCTCTGGCATCATGAACTTCTTGGGGTCTCCATTGCCAACCAGGCTTCACCTTCACAGCTTCACACAATGGCCTATCAGGGCCTTCTCTATGCAGAAGTACCCCTGCTGCATGCTGCCTGGCCTCCAAGGCTCCCTGAAACTGCAGAGGAAGAACTGATGACCACTTCACTCTTGCATCTTTCATGCCTCTAAAGCCAGCACCAGGTGAACGACACTGCCAAGTTTGGCTGCAAGTTCGGGATGGACTCCAGCCTGCTTTATCCATTTTAGAAGCTTTTCCCCTCAGTGGTCCCTGCAGCATTTTCCCTTCACAAGTTGGAGGCTTAACTGAGTGTGGCCTTGTCCTGGAGGCACTCTCTCCATTATTTCAGTTTGAATCTCTAGGCCCCTCCTTAATCATCACTTTAATCTCCTTATCAATGGGATCCTCTCCATCACATGCCAGGGCTCCAACATTTATCTTCCTAGTGCTCTTTTTTAATCCAAACCGTATTTCTTTCTGCTCCTTTTGCTCTCTTTCACTGTAGACCTGCACAATATTCACCATTAATAGCCACACTACCATTTCTACATTAGGCTGTCTTGAAATTTCTTCTGCCAGAGAAATTACTCCATTGCTTTTTAACTTAGCCTGAGGCAAGCTTTTAGGTTGAGGGCAGACTCCAGCCAGACTCTTTGCCAAAATATCCTAGGTTCTGCTTAAGTCCTTATTTCCCCCTGGAACTACATTGTACTCAGCACTACTTTCTTCCAGGAGAGTACTAGAATGATCTATTAAGCTCTGCTTACAGCAATCAACTTCTTTTCCAGCCCAACCTTCCAAAGTCTTGCACATTTCTTCAAAACCCCACATGGTCAGGTTCTTCACAGCCAACAGCCCACTCTCTGGTAGCAATTACTGTATTAGTCACTTTTCTGTTGCTGCGATAGAAACACTGACCCAAGCAATCCAGAGAAGGAAGAGTTTGAGCTTACAGTTCCAGGGGAATCACAGTCCATCAGGCAGGGAGGCATGGTGGCTGGAGGTGGCTGGAACAGGAGCAGCAGAATTGAAGCTCTCACATCATCACACAGACACAGGAAGCAAAAGCTGTTTCCCAGATTTTTTTCTCAGTATGTTTGTTGTTGATATATAGGAAGGCTACTGGGTTTTGTGTGTTAATTTTGTATCCTGCTACTTTGATAAATGTGTTTATCAGCTCTACAGTTTTCTGAAGAATATTATGGGGTTTTTAACATATAGAATCATATCATCTACAAATAAAGACACTGATTTCTTCCTTTCCTGTTTGTGTCCTCATCATCTCTTTCGCTTGTCTTACTGCTCTAGCTAAGACTCCAAGCACAATATTGAATAGAAATGGAGAATGGACATCCTTGTTTTGTACCTGATTTTAGTGGAAATGCTTTGAGTTTTTCTCCATTTAGCATGATGTTGACTGTGGGCTTATTGTATATGGTCAATATTATGTTTAGGCATGTCCCCTATATTCTTAAGATTCTCCATGACCTTTATAATAAGTGATGTTGTATTTTGTCAAGGGCCTTTTCTACATCTGAGATGATCATGTGCTGTCTGTCCTTAAGTCTGTTTATGGTGGATTGTATCAGTATGTTGAATCACTGATACATCTCTGGGATGATGCTGACTTTATCATGATAGATACTATTATTTGGTTTGGGTATGAAAGTATTACTGGCTTTTTAAAAAAATTTGGTCACAGCACTCGGGAGGCAGGGGCAGGCAGATCTCTGTGAGTTCAGGGCCAGCCTGGTCTACATAGTGAGTTCCAGGCCAGCTGGGACTACAGGGAGACCCTGTCCCCCAAAAGACTAAATAAATAAATAAATAAATAAATAAATAGAATTTGGAAATGTTCCTTTCTTTTATATTTTATGGAAAAATTAGAGGAGCATTGGTGTTAATTCTTCTTTGAAGGTCTATTTAAATTAGTTATTTCACCTTGATTGGTAGGCCATATACATCTATAAACTCATTCATGTCTTTTAGGTTTTCTGGTTCAGTGGAATATAGATTTTTAAGGTACATCCTTATGAGTCTCTGAGTTTCCTCAGTGTCTATGTAATGTTTCCATTTTCACTGCTGATTTTATTAATTTTCATCCTCTCTTTCTTTTGGTTAATTTGGCTAATGGTTTGTCAATCTTGCTAATTTGTTCAAGTAATCAGTGCTTCATTTCATTGGTTTGTTGTAATTTTTTGTCCTTATTTCATTAATTCCAACCCTGATTTTGACAATTTGTTTTTGTTTACTTTTTTATTATAGTTTTTAAAACCATATCATCTATTTTATGACTGATCACCGAAATCCTCAAGATGAACTGGATGCTGCAACAGCTGCCCTCTTGGGTTTAATTGTTTCATCATGAAATACATATCTGAATCAGGAGTAGACAGTTGTGAGGTGCCTCATTCGCCCAGTCCTGGTAGTATTTCATCTCTTATTCAGCCTTGGCTCTCCAGTGATACTTTCTCTGGTACTCACGTCGACTTCTGAAGGTGGTAGGCCTTAAGCCACACCAGATGCACAACATGTGACTCTTGTTGGGACATGTTCTATGTGATAATATTCCCTTTGTTATCTTGCTTGTGCCACTAAGGCCAAAGAGCTGGCCTGGAACTATGTAGACCAGGCTGACCTTGAACTCACAAAGATCCACCTGCCTCTGCCTCCTGCATGCTGGGATTAAAGGTGTGTGCTACCACGCCAGGCCACATCTACCTTTTTATGGGTATTTTTGTTTTCCCAAGGTCTTCAGGTGCATCATTAAGTTATTAATATGAGATGTCTCTAACATTTTGTAGTAGGCACTTTTGTGCTATAAATTTTTCTTGGAGGATGGCTTTCATTGTGTCACATAGAGTCTGTAATGTTGTGCTTCCATTTTCATTCAATTCTAGGAATTTAAAAATACTCTTGATTTCTCCCTTGACCCATTTTTCATTTAATACTGTATTGCTTAATTTCCATGCATTTGTGCAGTTCCTGAAGTTTCTGTTGCTGTTGATTTCCAGCTTTATTCTTTAGTGGTTGGATAGAATTCAGGATATTATTTCTATTTTCCTATATTTGTTGAGACTTGATTTATGTCCTAATATGTGATTGATTTTGGAGAAAGTTCCATGGGTGGCTGAGAATATGTATTCTTTAATATTTTGATGGAATATTCTATAATTGTCTTTTTGATCCATTTCATTTATGATGTCATTTAACTCGAGTTTCTTTGTTTAGTTTTGTCTAAATGACCTGTTAACTGGTAAGAATGGGGTATTAAAGTCACCCACTATCACTGTATTGGGGTCAATCTGTGGTTTTAGATTGAATAGTGTTCCTTTTATGAAACTGGGTGCCTCTGTGATTGGTGCATAAATGTTTATGATTGTAATATCCTCTTGGTGGATTTTTCTATTAATCAGTATGAGATAGAGATAATCCTTATCTCTTCTAGTTTTAGTTTGAAGCCTATTTTATTAGAAATTAGAATAGCTACATCTGCTTATTTCTCAGTTCCATTTGCTTGGAATACCTCTAAGTGGGTATTTATCTTTTATGGTGAGCTGTGATTTTTGGAGGTAGTGAAAAGATGGACCCTGCTTTCTAATCCAATCTTTTAGTCTATGTCTCTTTACTAGGGAATGGAGACCATAACTACTGAGCGTTATTACTGAACAATGTGCACTAATTCTTGTTATTTTCTTGTGGTGGTGCTATTTTCTTAGACTTCTTTTGATTAGCTGCTCTAAAATTGTCTATTTATCCCCTGTTCTGTCTAGGGATGCCTACTTTGGATTGAGGTCACTGAACACCAGGCAGTGTCCAAATGGTAAGGTGGGTGTAGTGACAGATGGGTGGGCATTCAGGCTCTGGAATGGCCTCCCTAGAGTCAGGGCTGCATTGTTTAGCAGGTGTGCAGGGTGTAGTGATTAGTTTTCAGGGTGGATATATGACCCAAAGTGAGGCATTCATTGGGACATTACAAAAGACAGCTAGAGCTGATGTGAAGGTGCACTCCTGTAATCCTAACACTTTAGAGCTGATGTGAAGGTGCACACCTCTGACCCTAACAAACACTCTAGAACTGACATGAAGGTGCACACCTGTGACCCTAACACTCTAGAGCTGACGAGAAGGTGCACACCTGTGACACTAACACTCTAGAGCTGACGAGAAGGTGCACACCTGTGACACTAACACTCTAGAGCTGACGCGAAGGTGCACACCTGTGACACTAACACTCTAGAGCTGACGCGAAGGTGCACACCTGTGACACTAACACTCTAGAGCTGACGAGAAGGTGCACACCTGTGACACTAACAATCTAGAGCTGACGAGAAGGTGCACACCTGTGACACTAACACTCTAGAGCTGACGCGAAGGTGCACACCTGTGACACTAACACTCTAGAGCTGACGCGAAGGTGCACACCTGTGACACTAACACTCTAGAGCTGACGCGAAGGTGCACACCTGTGACACTAACACTCTAGAGCTGACGCGAAGGTGCACACCTGTGACACTAACACTCTAGAGCTGACGCGAAGGTGCACACCTGTGACACTAACACTCTAGAGCTGACGCGAAGGTGCACACCTGTGACACTAACACTCTAGAGCTGACGCGAAGGTGCACACCTGTGACACTAACACTCTAGAGCTGACGCGAAGGTGCACACCTGTGACACTAACACTCTAGAGCTGACGCGAAGGTGCACACCTGTGACACTAACACTCTAGAGCTGACGCGAAGGTGCACACCTGTGACACTAACACTCTAGAGCTGACGCGAAGGTGCACACCTGTGACACTAACACTCTAGAGCTGACGCGAAGGTGCACACCTGTGACACTAACACTCTAGAGCTGACGCGAAGGTGCACACCTGTGACACTAACACTCTAGAGCTGACGCGAAGGTGCACACCTGTGACACTAACACTCTAGAGCTGACGCGAAGGTGCACACCTGTGACACTAACACTCTAGAGCTGACGCGAAGGTGCACACCTGTGACACTAACACTCTAGAGCTGACGCGAAGGTGCACACCTGTGACACTAACACTCTAGAGCTGACGCGAAGGTGCACACCTGTGACACTAACACTCTAGAGCTGACGCGAAGGTGCACACCTGTGACACTAACACTCTAGAGCTGACGCGAAGGTGCACACCTGTGACACTAACACTCTAGAGCTGACGCGAAGGTGCACACCTGTGACACTAACACTCTAGAGCTGACGCGAAGGTGCACACCTGTGACACTAACACTCTAGAGCTGACGCGAAGGTGCACACCTGTGACACTAACACTCTAGAGCTGACGCGAAGGTGCACACCTGTGACACTAACACTCTAGAGCTGACGCGAAGGTGCACACCTGTGACACTAACACTCTAGAGCTGACGCGAAGGTGCACACCTGTGACACTAACACTCTAGAGCTGACGCGAAGGTGCACACCTGTGACACTAACACTCTAGAGCTGACGAGAAGGTGCACACCTGTGATCCTAACCCTCTAGAGCTGATGTGAAGGTGCACACCTGTGACCCGAACACTCTAGAGCTGTTGTGAAGGTGCACACCTGTGTCCTGACACTCTAGAGCTTATGTGAAGGTGCACACCTGTCATCCTAACACTATAGACTGATCTGAAGGTGCACACCTTTTGGGGGACCCTGCTGCTTAGGTTGTAGTCCTCCATGTCTGGATAGCTCTAAGGGGCATGGTGCTATATGGAAGGATTCCCTTTCTCGGTGGGGGGCCTCCTGCTTTCTGCCTGACTTACCTGGAAAGTGCCACCAAGCATGGATGTGTGACCTTATTTGGAACCTTTGGCATGGTTACCTGCAATAAAACTGCCCCCAGGTTTTTTCTATATGATAATTAGGCATTGCCCTATAGTCGGATGATAGGATCCCCCTACCACATGTAAATAAAGCATACTATGAGCACCTATCAGCTGAAGCTTTGTCTGCTTCCTCCACACTATATTTTCCCTGAGCCCCACTGAATAAACGGAGCTGTATCACTGACTCTGACTACCCGGAAAGTCCTTTCCGTCGTGCTCACTGGCCATCCTGATCCTGTTCGTCGCTTCTGCTCCCTTTGTCCTTGTGGACCTGTAGCCAATGGCCCTCGAGGGGAGGGAGAGACCCACACACACCTGTGATCCTAACACTCTAGAGCTGATGTGAAGGTGCACACCTGTGACCCTAACACTCTAGTGGGTGAGGCAGGAGGGTAATTAATTACTAAGCCAGTCTTGGCTCTGGAGTTTAAATGCTATTGATGTATGCTAAGCTGCAGTCGGTAACTGTGAAACAACCTGAAGCTCTATTTTCTGCCCCAAGAGAAGCTTCACTTGCAGAAGAATGAGGACACAGGGCACAGAGAAATGAGAAGAGATCTTGTATTAATTACTTTTTTCATCACTGATGCAGTTTCAGGGAAGAGGAGTTTATTTTTGTTCACAGTTCCAGAGGGTGCAGACTATCATGATAGGGAAAGCATAGTGGCTGGCATGGAGTGGTCTGTGGTGGGTATTATAGGGAAAGCATAGTGGCTGGCATGGAGTGGTCTGTGGTGGGTATTACAGTACAGCTTGTGACAACTTGGTGGATCAAGAAGCAGATTTGGCTATATAGGGACCAGGGCAAGGCTATACTTTCAAGGGCTTACCACCCCTAGCAATCTACCTCTCACAGTCATGCCTCCCATTCCAAAGATTCCATAATTTTCCAAACCCACACCAAAATGGGGACTAAGTAGTATAAGCTGGGTTATATGGTAATCCTATGTTTAGCTTGAGACATTACCATAGTGGCTGGAGTAGTTTATATTCCCATCTGCGGTTTATATGGATTCCCTAAATCTGTATCCTCACCAGCTTTTGTTATTACTATTTTCTTGGTGACTGCCACTCTGAGCTGAAATGGGATCTGAATATGGTTTTAATTTGTGTTTCTCTAATTCACTGGAGACATTTTTATGTCACCCTGTGGCACAGTTGTAGTCTCTGTAGGTGTCTCCTATCTGGGAGGTGTTGACTATGCTCATGCCTGTGTTGTCATATACCATGGTCTGGTAGTTGAGTAAACTCTTCAGCCTCCCCTGAGACACCTCTGGCTGCTACAGAGCGTACTGGGTGATCCATCTCAAATTCCCCAGTAAGTTCCACAAAATGGTCTGTTGCACTGAGCAGTTATTTAAGTTATTGAGTTATTGTCCCATGCCAATGTATGAGCTTCAGTTCTTGTTTTTGCTTGAAATGAAACACAGTTGTAAGAATCTCATTTTCACAAATAGGGTTTCCCATTTTCTTTACTTTGTATGCATATGGCTATATAATATACATGCAAAGGTCATAGGACAACCTGTGGTGTTGTTCCTAAGGTGCCATCCACCTTTTCAGACAGGTTCTCTTACTGGCTTGGAACTCACTTAGTAAGTTAGATTGGTTGGCCAGAAAGCTCCACGGTTACAGAGTGTGCCACCATATCTAGCTATGTGTGTGTGTGTGTGGGGAGTGCATGTTCCTATGCATGTGGGTGCACATGTGTATGTGTGGAGGCCTAAGGTTGACCTCAAATATCTTCCTCCACAGCATTTCACCTTATTTAATGTGGCAGGTAGTCCACTGATGAGAAACTTCACTCTTGAAGTGGTTTAACCAAGAGTGGGCAGTATCTTGTTCTGAGGTGTTCTGATTCCTCTCAGAATTATTCTCCCAGAACTGAACTCTATTCTATTCTACTGTATTCTACTCGACTCTACTGTCTAACAGAGGGCTCCTTTCATGTTTTGATAGAACAGCATATCAAGCATGGTATGAACAATCTTTGATAACAGTTTTACAAAGGAAGTTGTTTTTCTGACCTTACTGCCTCAGAACAGCACACAGAGCCGCAGACAAATGTCATCAATCTATGCTTCCATGGTGCTTGCAACGTCTGTGGGGGAAATGTTTGTAACATCATAGCTGTTTTAAATATCATCACTGTCACATCTCACACACACATACATTGTTGAGTTGGGCATAATGGAGTCAAAAGTAGGGAACATGGTATGGATTAAAGCTATGCAGATTGTAAGAATTAACTGCATTGTGATTTCAAATCATTGTAGGACTGATTACATTGTTTATCTTTGAAGGAGTACATAGTTATAAATGTTCTCATGAAGAGGAAAACTGAAATTATTAAGGAAGGAAACTAAAATTGAGGGAAGAAAACAGAGCAGCTGGCCTGAGAAAACAGACTTTGCTGGCTTAAGAAAACAAAGCCTGGTTTACTAGGAAACCAGTCCTTTTATTTGCTTGCAAAAACAGGTGTATCCTCCTTGCTTTGGGTTTGATTAAGCATGCTTCCTCCTTGGAATTCTAACTTATGTCCCCCACCCTTTTATGAAATGTAGGTTGGAGACCACTGCACATGGCCCTGGTCACATAGACTAGAAGGCCTCATGACCCCAATACACACCAATGCCAGAGTGGGCCTGAAATGATGACGACAATGATGATGATGATGATGATGATGATGATGATGACGATGATGATAATTATATATATGGAAAATGACTGCCTACTGCTGGGGCTTTGGAGATAACTCCCTTGGGCCTGCTGCTGGAAAGAAAAGTTGTGACTTCCCACTTTGTCCCCAAGTACCTGATCTGAAAGTGGTGGTTTCATTATAGTTATTCCCATTACATTCAAATGATTAACCCCAAGCACCTGAACCAGCTATATTCTCGTTGCCCTGGGGCTCACATCTACATTGCTTAGCTAGTTAGATCCTCCCCATGCTCATCCTGCCCTGCCTTGGGCTTAGGCCCACTTCCTGCACATCCCACCTGAGACCTCCAGACTAGCCAAATGTAGCTAAAATTCCTTCTGGGAGGTGCAAATGATTTCCCGCCCCCTCCTCCTTTGGTCCCTATGACAAACCAAGGTACAATCTTGCCAAATTGCAATCTGGGAAATCAGTAAGTATTGGGCTTAATTATAGAGCAGTGAGTGAGAGTCCACTTACAGGAGTGTGGGAGCTCCCCTCTAAGGCTGCACTGGAAAGTCTCCATCCAGGCATGGATAGTGACTTCCCCATAGACATGCAAAATGGAAAGAGAGTCTTCTTATGGCTTTCTCCACTTATATACCCTTAGTCCCTCCCTCTCATGCAACTAGGGCTGATTGGTTGGTTGGGAAGTGTGGCTGACTCTCTCTGCCCGTCTCTTGCAGAGCATTAACAGTCAACAAATTTGTGATGATCAAGGCAAGCAGGTGCAACCAGGCTTGGGAAGAAGGCATCAGTCCATAGCTTGTTGGTCAGAGGACAGTTCTATGTGACCCTCCACCCCTTCCTCCAGCTCTTACATTCATTCCACCATCCTCTTCCACAAGAGTCCCTAGGTATTGGAGGGGGTGACATAGGTGTAAAATGGTCTTCTTCCCACTGTGGCAAGATACTAAATCCTTGGACCTTTTCATCATCAGTTTCCAAGACATGGCTGTTGGCCCATCCTAGTGGTATTCCTCCTACTATAAAAATACAAATAGGAAGAAGCAGAAACATTTAAACGAACACTGACTGCTGTAACCTATGGGTGTAAATACAAATTCCTGGAAGGTACCTTAGCAGGTGCATCACATTTAGCTAACAAAACAGTTGCAGTGACTTCCCCACTGGAGCCTATAACTTCTCCTGCCACTTGGGAGGGAGAGGTTTGGCCTGGCTTGCAGTACCAGATGTGTGTTCCTCCCCAAGGAGTAAGTCTTAAATCCAGTTGGAAATTTGTTGGTTGTACATATACAAGTCATGACACTATTGGACCAGCAGGGACATCTTGCTTGACATGTCAATAGTGCAGCATGCAGGATCCATCAGTAAGCAGAACTGTAGGGGACAATTCTCCCCAGCCATCTGTAAAGTGCCTTCTGGTACTATGAAGGCCAGTCATTTGGTGGCAAGGAGTTTTCAGCTTAGTACAATAGCATGGATAAGAGGGATTAATTTAGTAGCTCTTTACTATCTTTAGTTAGTTTTTTTGTTTGTTTGTTTGTTTGTTTGTTTGAGCCTTTTGGTATCCTGGAATTCTTACATGGAGCTTCCTTGTGTTTCTCCATCTCCAATAAACTCACTGGGATTTGCTCAAGCTGCCTGGCCTTGTACAGGGCCAAGGAGGAAAAGGGCTCCTCTTGTCCCTGCTGCACCTGTTGGTTCCCTGGGTCAGATAGGTCCTGGTTCTGACTGCTGGCTGTAGCCATACCTGTTGTTTCTCCACCGACCACACCTGGATGCTCAGGAAGGTCCTGACTGGGACTACTGTCTCCACCCCTAGCATAACCTTTAGCAGGAGAGAAATGTACTCTGTTTAAATTTAGGGGGATCATTATCCACCCCGGGACAATTTTTACCTTCTATACTTGTATTGCTTTTATCATGGATGCCTTTTGTGAACTGTTCCTCAAATTTTAAAGCCTTCCAGAAGCTCCTTAGCACAGAATTTTTTTGTTTTGTTTGTTTGTTTCTGTCAGTTTTTTCTTTAGGCACTTGGACTCAACACAAATCTTTCCACATTTGCCTTTGAGTAACCCAAAGAAGACCTCTTTCTACTTTTTCTTTTTCTTTTTTTTTTTTTGGTCTTTTTGAAGCAGGGTGTCCCTGTAGCCCCAGCTGTCCTGGAACTCACTATGTAGACCAGGCTGGCCTTGAACTCACAGAGATTCGCCTGCCTCTGCCTCCCAAGTGCTGGGACTACAAGCCACCACACCTGGCTTACTTTGTCTATGTCACTTTTAGGTTGCTTTGCTATTTTACAGACACACTGTACATGCTGGTCTAAGTCACTTAGATCTGTCAAAGCCTCTCCTATTTCATAAAGATCCTGTCCCACTAAGGGACTCAGCAAAGCCATTAGAGCTCCATACCAATTTCAAGGTTCCTGCTGAATCAAGTTCTTTAAATCTCTGGTGAACACAGTCCTATCTGGACATTATGCATTGCTTTCCTAATTCTCTCAATAGTTCCTGTCCCTCCTCTATTGTGCTCCAGCCCCTGATATCCATGGGAACCTCCACTGTTGATAACCAAGTATCTCTAATGGCTCATAGGGGCTAGTCCATCAGGGACTGATTCCCCCTGTACTGCCTCAGATTATGCAACCTATGTCTCAAGGAGGGATGGCTGGTCATATTGCTCAGCTTTTCTGCTTTTGTAGCACTTATCCTAATTCCACCTGCTCCCATGTCCCACAGCCTTATAAACCATGTGGTGAGGAATGAAGGATCATTACGTGTTTGAAAATCTTCCCTAGTTCCAACACCTCCAGTGCTGAGTATTATCTGATTGCCATAGTCTCTCACACCAGACCATTGTTAAGACCTTCATCAACATGCTGAAACATGGATTTTTCCTTTCTTTGTATTAGAGGTCAAACCCAAGAGGCATATTCAGCTTTCTAGGTCTGTCTGTTCCTCATCACTATCTGTCTTTTCCCATGGGTTCCAGGTTTTGGGGTCCCAGGATGAGCCTTGTATTATCAATCTGATCTGGGCTTTGTCCCCCTTCTTGTCCCTACCCATAAAAAACACACGCTAACACCTCTATTTTTCTCTTTTATGCAATTTACTATCAAGGTCAAAGACCAATACTGAAGAGGCCAGCCTCATATCACTTTCTTGCTGAAGTTCCTCTCTTGCACCTTTAGTCTTCCTCCAGGCTTCTGACTCGACTTAGGACCCATCTCTTATTACCCTTAAGAGTGGCCAAGCTGCCTCAGCAGCTGCTTGCTGATACTTTCATCCCTGATGTGCTACCCCCAGGGCTTGTAATGTTTGCTCTAGAACTTCGGCTGTTCTCAAAGCTTCTTCATACTTGTGTGGTGGATCCCACTGGTCAAGCAGGCATGCTGTTCTATACCACTAACAACGTACTGCCATCCCAGGATTTCCCCCACTGACATCATCTGCTTAGGTGGCCTCACCCTAGTTACACATCTCACTTCCCATGCCACTGCTGCTACCTCCTCCAGCCCTATGGGGAAAGCCCACCATGTCAGAATTCCCTCTGCCAACACTCTCACTTCACCCAACTTCCCTTCAGTTGTTGGACTTCCTTTCCCACATCAGAGATAGCACCATTGCCTTTCCCAGACTCATCCTTGGTTTTGTCATATCCTGGTCATAACATGTTAACAGTCAACAAGTTTGTGATGATCGTAGGCAAGTGGGTGCAACCAAGCTTGGGAGGAAGGTGTCTTTACATAGCTTGCCAGTCAGAGGACAGTCCTATGCAACACCTGGTAAGTTAGATCCCACCCACTATGGCTTGATTCCACTGCACTTGGATATGCTACATTCTCTCTGCTCCAGGGCTCACATCTACTCTAGACTAGTCTGTCAGAACCCAGCCACTAGTTCCCCATAGTTTGAATTGGGGCTAGGATCCTTCACCCTGTGGGAGAGCTTTTCACTAGCCAGTTTCAAACTATTCTGTCCCACTAATAAGAATCAAAAACGAGAAACTGAAGCACAGACCAACTAACTATTCATACTCAATTAGGAAGCAACAAAACAATATCAACAATATAAACAGCACCAAATTTCAACAAAAGAAAGACAGGCTAGAATTTCATTTCAGATGCAGAACCAACAAAAGAAATCCATATGCCTAGACGACAATACAAAACCACAAATAATATGAAAAACCGAGATACTATGTCCCCACCAAAACATACCAGGTCTACAGAGTATGCTACAATAAGAACTACCCAGAGGAAGCCAAGGATATAGAATTCAAAAGATCATAAACATGACCAAAGAACCCAATGACTTTAAAGAACACAAGCAACTCAAAGAACTCAGAGGATAGGAATAAACTCCTGACCAAAGTTCAAGAAAATATAAATATATGGCCAAATGAAATGACAAAGACAATTCAGGACTTGAAAAATGAATTCACAAAAGAGATAGAAATATTAAAGAAAACTCAAGCTGAAATGAAGATGTAACTGAAAAATTCAACAAGTCAATTTGAAATGACGAGAAAGCCTCACAAGCAGAATTAATGAAATGGAAAGCAGAATATCAAGTATGGACAACAAGGCTGAAGGGCTGGACCACCCAAGCAAAGAATATGAAAACATTTAAAAAACAGGGATAGAAAATACAGGAAAATGTGGGATGCCATGAAAATACCAAATCTACACATCATAGGCATAGATGAAGGAGAAGAATCTCAGGTCAGTGGCATTGACCAGACCTGTAACAGGATTATAAAAGAAAACTTCCTTAAATTAAGGAAAGATATACCCAGGCAGATACAAGAAGCACACAGACACTGATTAGACAGAATTAAAATAGAAACTTCCCATCATAGTAAAAACACTAAATGTAGAGATCAAAGAGTAGGTACTGAAAGCTGTAAGAAAACAACAATAACAACAACAACAACAACAAAAACCAAGTTACATATAAAGGAAAGCCTATCAGAATTACAGCTGACTTTTCAATGCAAACTATAAAACCAGATGAGCCTGGAGCAACATATTCCAAGTTCTAAATGACCACAGATGCAAGCCAAGAATACTTTACCCAACAAAACTGACTATCATAGTTGAACAGAAATAAAAATCTTCCATGATACAAATAGGCTGAAAGAATTCATGTCCGTCAAACCAGTCCTACAGAAAATACTCAAAACAATACAGAGGACTAAAGAAAGAAATGACCATATTCACAAAGTTGCAGAAAGAAAAAAATGAAGGTATAAAGTACAGAAATACTAAAGATTAAGAACAAAAACAAAATGATAGTAACCAATATACACTTTACAATACTAACTCTAAGTATCAATGGCTTCAACTCCCCAGTCAAAAGACACAGACTAGTTGAATGAATTAAGAAACAAAACCCATTTATTTATTGTCTGTAAGAAACTCATCTTACCTCCAAGGATAGGCACAACCTTATGGTCAAAGGATGGAAAAAATATTCCAAGCAAATTAACTAAGCAGGACTTGCTATTGTAATATCTGAAA